AAATTTTTTAAATTCGCTTAAATTTGACTGCAAAATTTTAATGGAATTTTAAAAGTTAATCTTTTTAAGTCATAAAACAACAATTTCTTTTAGCCATAAAGTTATTTTACCGTAAACCGTTGCATTTCTATTTTGACAAAACTCCACTAATCCGTAAAAAGTTAATCCTTGAAACAACCTTAAAATCTGGTTTAAGAATAATACCACAGTATAACAGTATTTCTTTAGTGTGGTGCGGCCCGTAATAAATGAAAGGACACTTTGGCCATTTTCCGAGGAATTGCTTCGGTAATTGTTGTCCTTCAAGACTTCAGAAGGTACTAATCTCCCGTATCCATTTCAATTTTCTCTGAATACCGTTGTGGTTCGTCCGATAATCCCTTTATTTGTTTGTCCGTCCATGGGGCTAACTCGAAAATCCCATTTTTTGAGCTTTTAGAAAAGGTCACGTTTTATAATAAAACCAACATCCATAGTAGAAATTAACAAATCTAAAAGGTAATCACAAAATGTTTACTTTAAATTATTTCTAACAAATCGCACATTTCTTAGTGATTTTAAGAAAATCAAACTCATTTTAGTACAGGTAAACACAAAGTTGAACAAGTGCGAAGAAAACACACCATCGACTTATCCTTTTAAATCCCATTTGCAAACAACGAGAGTTTGTAACAGGAATTAAGGGACCACCAGGGGTGTTCTGAACGGATTATACGTACTGGGACGGGGCGAAATGGATGAGTGACAGGAACGTGTGCCTATATCCCTCAACGTTCCCCCGGGATCGCTCCAACTGATATCTGTTGACGTTTTTGGTCAGATAACATTGGGCGACTTATTAGCTAAAGGACGCTGTGGGGGTAGTTTTTTCAATGGGCTTAAATCTGCTCGCTTTGTGACGATGATCGGTTGGCCTTTTGTACAAATAAATGAGCTGTGTTGGAAACTGTTAATAGGATGGATATTGCACTGACAGATTTTTAACTGTAATTGAATTCTAGGAAATATTTTTAATCCTCCGGTTATCAAACAAAAATTGTTTTATTATGTTGTTAAAAGTGTCGAGTTACGAAAACGCTAAGGATAAAAATCAAAAATTCATAGAAATATAGATTGAAATTATTAGTAAGCTACATCCAAAATAGATATGGAAGCATAGAAAAGCAATTACAAAAAAGTCGAAACTGAGATTATTTTGTATTATTGGGTGTAAAAGCAAGAAAAATTTTCCATAGAAAACATGGCAGGTAAACCAGAACAACCAAACCGCTAGTGTTTGTGATTTAGCTGGAGTCGCAGTAGTAAAAGGTCTTCTAATTGATTGGTTACGTTGAAATTTCTTCCTTCTTAAACCTTTTTATATAATGTGTCTTGGATAATTTTTTGGGTGTTTGCAGAAAAGAAGGTGGTTTATAGAAACTGTCATCCAGCATCCAGCAAAATTTTTATTTTTTTTTTTTTCTGAAAAAGGTTTCTATTTCTATTCCGTATCGTTACACCTTCGGAGCCCTGCCCTTTTCTATTCTGAATGATTTGCACATTAAGCGAACGATTCTGTTGAGTTTTTAATAAAATAGTACTGCCTTCTGTTTCTGGCACCAACAAAATTCCACAAATTTGTTGTTGGTCATTGTTCTGTATTCTCATCATCAGAATCAAAAAAGTATTATACGTAGCTTGAGCAATAAGACTTTCCATTTCTCCATTTATTTTGATGAAAACTATCATGAACTCTAACAAATTAATTCTTTTGTACTTTTCCTTAACTTCACCCACATCATGCTCTTTCCTGATTCTGTTTCTTTTTTCACTTTCAGAAGTAGAAGAAGACCAAGAGAAAGGGATGCATCTAACAAAAAGTCGAACTGATTTTATGGCACTTCATCCCTATGACTTAGACGAAACTACACAACACAACTAGAACATTGAAATATAATCGCAAATACAAAAATATAACTGTGGTATTTGCCGATAAGCCAATTTTGCTAAAAAGAACACATCATTTTCAAAAATGGACTTGTAACACTAATTTAAATAGTAAAATAAACTGCAGATGTCAAATTGACTTATTTGAACAGAAATTTAAAGTTTACTATGATACATAATAATAATAATAGTAATATTTCTTGGCACAACCCACATATTTAACATTAAAAAAAAATCAAACATGAATATATAAAAAAAAAGAAAAGAAAAATAAACAAACAAAAATTGTACAAAAGCAATATACGGGGTGATTTATAAAATACGGAGCAGACTAAACGGGTAGGTACTTGAGGTCAAACTAAAGTGATTTTCTTAATAATGTTTTGTTAAAAACTTAATAGTTACATAGATATCGCATGTTAATTTTTTAAATAAGTTATCGTCAATTTTTGGGAACCGCTGATATTCAGTAAAGAACAATTAAAATACTTGTTAAATGACATGTCCGCTGCTAGGTAACCAAATCAACTGAATTGGCAGCAATAAAAACATGGTATCAGCGTTTCTCAACAAACAAACACCAGTTTTTGAGCGATTCCCCTTTTAATCTGCTACATATGTTATAAATCACCCTGTATATTACAATAGAACGGGGTTGTAACCAAATAGACTGCATTTGATTCGTAACATAGTCACGATCCACTCTTCCACGCAGACATCAAGATCATCTTACCGAATTTGTAATTCTACGTTCTCTTTATTAACTTTATTTCTCGTTATGGGCTAAAAAATTTGCTTGTTAACTACCTCACATATTCACTCTATTTGGAGCATCTAGTATAAAACATTCTGATAAAAAAATTGTTCAAGGCAAATTCCGACAAAGCCAGTCACTGGGGTTAATGGAACGTAGTAATCAAGATTTTCAAAACATCACAATTTGATGGAAACCAATGTGAGCAGTCATTGCTCCGAATTTCTCAAATTCATTCAAGCAATCAAAAACAAGGAAACCCATGGAGAGAAATCTCGTCAAGCTTTAGAACAACAAAAAAAATGAATATCTGATGTAGATGGAATCTAACTTAGACCCAAGGACGTTATTAGCTGTTGTTGTGGATATTAAATAATCCTGGATTTGTTCATATTGTTTTTGTAACCCCATCAAAACAGCAGAAAACTTTATTTTGACCAATACGGATGGGAGTATCCTAGGATTTACCAATTTCTAACTTTCGTAATAAATCACGACTCAAATTTCGCCCTTTTACCAACCCAACTTGGTATATCCCAAGATTTGATTTTGACATGTAAAACCTAAGATTTACCAGTTTTCTAGAATTTAAAGTAACATATACACATATCTAAATGTTGTGCAAAATTATGCCACAAGAAACCAAAGGTTGGAAATCTTCAAAAACAAGTTCTTATTTTTGATTAATTATGTTCTAATAACATGTCTATGATAGCCTACGCACTCATCAGATCTTTGAATAAAAGCGGTACTGTTAATATTGCCTCATGGTTAAAATTTCGCAATCTGGACAATCTATACCTTCAAGGATATCCAACCTAACTCAAGCCCTTTCTGTTTTGAAACCATTTGGCATTCACTCCACCTGAGATAACCTTATATTATGTGTAGTATCAACACATCTAGTACATTTTTTGGAAATTTATTTTAAAACTTATACAATAGTATAAATCATGGTACTCTATAAACATAACTTTTGGAGTATTGAAGAAATATGGTGAGAAATCTGCTTAAAATTTACGCAATAGTTATCTAAATATGAGTGGCAAGTGAGTTCCTAAGTATTTGAGAATCCAAACTTGAATGAAATTATGATGCTCAATTAGACTTTATGGATTCGAGTCTAAGAGATTTTTTGCAAACTTGGATATTATTATTATTTGGTGCAATAACCCCAAATTATTTTGATATCTATTGGCAAAAATATTGATTTGGCTTTTAGATGTAACTAATATAATAATTAAAGCTAATTTTGAAGAGGGTTTAATTAAGAAGGTTTGTATATGTATAGGTAACTTAATTATGGTTTTTGATATTTAAATTTCTCTCCTAAGTATTCTTATTTAATTTAAATATTGTAAACTACAGCTAGTTCACCATAAGGTGAACCGATTCGAAAAGGCAAGCAAATAAATTGCGCCCCCTATCAACGATCGTGTACGTACCCGTCGTCCTCCACCTGAAAGCTTCGATGGCATTAAATTGATTTTATTATCCCCACCCTGAAACCGACCAATCCCCTTTTTCAGGCTGGGCGGGTAAACAGCCGAACACTGCCAATCACAAACTCCATGCCTATGGCACGGCGATACGCGAATTGGCAACATGTTCAGCAGGAGATCTCAAAGCGTCTCTCTCATTCTCTATCTCACTTACACATACGAGAGATAACCGAAAGCTCTCCGTTACGGAACTGTACCTACTACGCCCGGCAATAATTGATTTGTTCGCTATTTTAATTCATTTTGTTTCACCTTTTGTTAGTGTTAATTGTGTTTTTCGATCTATTTATTTTATTGTAAAATTTAAAAATGACTTTGAAAAGTAAAAGGAATTAATTTGATGATCACCAAGGCTGTGTTAAGACGAAGAATTTTTTGTTTGGCTGAAATGAGTGAATGAAATTTTCTTTGATATGTTGCACCATGAAGTTGGATAATAATAAAGTGATTCTGAAATGTAATGTTAAAAAATCATATTTTTGCAACCAATTATTTCTTGTGCCAATTGTCACTAATCCTCAATTTTTTGCTTTGTTAAATTTTTTTTAAATTTTTCCCTCTCTCTCCATTTCTCTCATCCCAAGTCCAACAAATTCCCAATTGCTATTAAGCACCCAATTAGTTGAAGGCAGCTACAGAATTACTCTGAAACGTGGTGATGTGGTGTGGGGAGGTGAAAACTGAAACGTGGTGGGGATAAAGCTTTTTGAAAAGGGGAGAGAAATGAACAGGCAATGTCACGGAGCATTAAGGTTATAAATGGGAAGGCGTGGTTTAGATACGATCTCACCGCCCTCTCGGAGGCATGGTTACAGAACGGCACACTGCTGGATGCTCAGTCTACGATCGCGAGTCTTGTTGAGAGCAAGTCTACCTACTACCACTTTTAAAGAGAAAGTGACAAAATACTTTACAAAAATAAAACATAAAACTAAAATAAAAAAAATTTGGAGTGGATCTTTAAAGTTTTGTGATTAAAAAACTTTGATCAAGTGATTGTTATCATATTTTTGTGATGGAGGATCAAACTAAATCTGAAGTAAACTTAACGAACTGTAAAACGAAGATTTCGTTCAGTGTTGAATCGTTGTTATCTTCGACGCGGACTGCAAGTTCTCCGTCGCCGAAATGTGAGGAGAAAGATCAGAGTTTTGAAGAGGATCAAAGCGAACTTCTTTCTGATCGATTAAAACCACCATCTGAACATAGTTTATACGATGATGATAGTGACGAAAATATTACGGTGGACGAAGACGACGACCTTGAAAGTAGAGAAAGTTTGAGTCCTAATTCTCATACGGTGGTTGTTCCTCAACCTTTACATCCATCAGTACCAAGATTGTTAAACCAGGCGCCTCCACCACATTGGGTTTTTCCTTGGCAAGCTCATGGAATTTTAAGATCTAATTCACCACAAAGTAAGTTATTATAATTTTCAAATTAACCATAAAATTTAAAAATTTGCCCTAAAAGAAATTTCTTTTTTTTTTAGCAAGTATAGCTAACATTACCCAAAACACCGGTCCACCAATAGTTAGATGCGCTCTTAGGAAACACAAACCAAATAGAAAACCAAGAACCCCCTTCACAACTCAACAACTTCTCGCTTTAGAAAAGAAATTTAGAGATAAACAGTATTTGAGTATAGCGGAGAGGGCGGAATTTTCAAGTTCTTTAAGATTAACAGAAACACAGGTAATTAAGATTAATTTATTAAAATTATTTCAAAATTTAAATAAATTAAATAAATTTAGTAAAATTATTTTTATTGCAATTTTCAGGTTAAGATTTGGTTTCAAAACCGTCGGGCGAAAGCTAAGCGACTACAAGAAGCAGAATTGGAAAAGTTAAGGTTATCCGCACGACCTCCTCTGTTACCTGCGACCTTTGGCCTATTTCCTGGAACGCCAAACCTCTTCCCGCACTTTCTCAATGCCACAATGGCTCATCGACCGCCGCAATTCAACTTTGCGAATCATGGTCCAATACTAAATATCCCTCAGTGATAAAATCCAATGAAAAAAAAGTTAAAGTTAACTCTATGTGTCATAAAAGAAAACCTTTCTTTATTCTCTTTGTTAATTTTTGAATTAATTTCGAAACTTTTTTTATTTTCTCCTTTCATCTACTGTAATATTTATGATTAAAAAGGGGCAATTCTAATGTTTAGATATTGTTTTTTTTTCTGTTTTGTTAATTTGTACATAAACGTATATCTCTGTATAAGACTGATTAATAATTTTTTTAGTTGACGAAAAATTGTAAATACTTGTATAAAATGTATATTAAAAATGTTTTATTATTGTTTAAATTTGTAAATAAGATTTATTTAAAATATCTATAATGAATAGAATAAACGAATTCGTAATAGTATTTTATTGTATTATTTAAATACATAAACCCATAAACAAAACCTAATTAATAACAAAAAATTTAAGCATATCTAATCGCAATAACGTGTGTTATTCAAAACTGATACGCAACGAGTGCGTATTTATGTGTTTGGGCATTTTAACGAGGACGCACTAAGAATGTTGATTAAATAATGAACAGTCTAAACTTTCAAAGTCATTTAAAGTTGACTAATCGAGTTTTGTTCGATACGCGTTATAATTAAAACTAAGTAATCTTAATTAAAAGTAGAAAAAATCCCATTTTTCAAAAAAAAAAAAGTGTTTATTGCACGATAAGAGAGTGGTACAAAACTTACGGTTACTCCGGTTCAAGGACTTTAATAAGAAATCGAAACAGCAGCAACAGTCGAGATTTCCATTGGGCAATTGACGAATGGCTAGACGTCTACGACGAGTAATTTCTCCATGTCGAATAGCTAGGCGAGCGACTTTTATAGTTTGAGGAACGGCGAGTGAAAATTCCTGGAAAACGGCGAGGCGGGAATGCAGAAAAATCTCGGGATAATTGGTTTTTGATACGCTCTAAGTGCCTCGTTCGGCTTCCTCCCGATCCTATATGGTAGTCGCGGTGTATTCGCTGGGTATTTCCTTTCGAGAGGCATCCCGCAGCATTGCCAGATGCCTATCTGCAATTTATTAAGCATCCTCTGCCACCGACCGTCCATAACGTTAATTTGTTCGGATCCTTAATTTGTCCATTCGTACTTAATTAGATTATGTTTTGTTACGGCTATAAGAAAAGAGAAACAAGATTCCTGTCCTTATTTAAAACATTTTCTTCTACTGTATTGAAAAAATTTGCGAAGGCGTTTTAAAATATCTTTTATATTTTCAAATCCTTTATTTTATGAGATGGCCAATCAAGGTAACCAACCAACTGATGCGCTCCTGGTGATTGCCCAGGCACTAAATAAGGGAATTGCCCAGATCAAAACAGCCGTGAGACCAGATGGGACCAACCCCGTTCAAATTAAAAGCCGATACGAATCGAAGGCGGCCACAAAATGATCTACGATCGATCGCCTCGAGGTCCAACACTTTTACGAACAATAATTTATATAAAACGTAATTACCGGCGGCCGAGCACCATTTAACACTACCTAAGTAACGAGACCTGCTACCGATCTCGATTTATGGCCCAACAGAACCGCTGAGGCTTCGCCCATTAATAATTTAAATGTTAATTTGTTAATTAATGATACAAATTGGTTTTCTCCGATATGCTTTACGATCTTACTAAAGGTGACCTTTTTAAAATGACCTTCACAAAAAAGTCCAGGTGCAAAAATTATCTTCTTCAATATCGTAATTTTTAAATATTTGCTTATATTAACTTTCATTATAAATTGTTTCCAAATAAAACCTCGTATAATAATCACATCACAAAAAGACTTTTTTAATGTGATTTTGTTGTAACTTATTTACTTATGATCATGACGTGATAAGAATATAGAAGAGATCGATATAATCAAAACGAAAATGAACATACACAAATAACGCACATATAAGGGAGTAAAAAGCCAAAAGGTCTAAGTTAATATATTTACTTAGTGGCACTATTAATCAATTAATTAAGAAGAGTGTAATAACACTAAATATTTTTGGTGGTAAATTTCAGTTGACTCGAAATTAATTTTCGGAGTACTATGTTATATGATGATTAGTGAATTAATCAAAGATTTGAAGAATGCAGCTGAAGAAACAAGAGAACAGTGTCTACAAAAACTTAATATCAAGTGTTGCAACTTAATCGCATCTTAACTAAAATATTCTAAAAATTGAGTATATACTATATCATTTGCTCTATTTGTAGTAAGATAATTTCAGCTTCTGTACTTTCAGCTTTTGATATAAACGATACATTAGACGCTTGATGTATGATGTGTTATATGATATGACACCAGTTACACGAAGAATTGGTTTTGATCGCAACCATAACCAAATGTACCCGAGCATACGCTATGAAATGAGCATGTGTTGTCAGCAGTTTGGTGGGGTGTGAATCTGATGATGATTGATCTAATATTTTTTGTTAACTTCGGCACTCATTTTCCAAATGATATCCGATACAATTAAACAGAATTTTTTGAAATAACATCATATTCTAAGGATTTTTTATGCCAAACTAAGCTAAATCTTAGTTTAAATCAATCCCTGTATAAGCTCATAAAGAAGATAAGAAGGAAGCTAGAACCCAAAACGCCATTAAGAAATCTGTCATGCCAATGGATATTCAACGACCAAGAGAACTTTTGGAAAATCACTTGGAAACTGAATTTGACAACAAGAGAGAAATTGATGATAATATCCAAAAAAGATCAAACATAGCGCTTACCAATATTGCAACATTTTCGCTTCTCTATTCCCCCTTTTTAGCCTTCAAAAAAGTTTCATTAAAATAGTACTGTGTATGACCTTTAATTTACTTTAATTTATCATTTTATCTCCTCCACCAATCTTATATGTTTTCACTTCCTTTCCTTTCTGCCGCTAATCTGATTCGTGATCTATTATTATATAATCAAATGAGATCATTCTCCCCTCAATGTAGATCTCTTTTCCATTCTAATGAGCACCCCCCCTTCCTTCTTAGCTATACAGAATAACACCTCGCAAACTTTATATAAGAGCACCTTATCTTAGGTTCTTCTTTGAAAAAATCTTGTAGTCGAGTAATCTCCAATTGTTATCATTTTTATATGAGCTCCCGATTTAGTTACTCTTATTAGTTCTCTCATGTTAGCTTTTTCATAATTTTTCTTATTGCTCGTGCTTAAATTTGTATTCTTCTGCAAACTTCAACTTCTGCTTCAAAATTAGACACCTCTTGTTTAAGCTTGCTCTTGTAAATATCTATAGCATATTGAAATCCTTCGACATAAAAACACCATGCTTGATGATCATAAATCCCAATTGCCATCGACATGTCCATATACATATAAAATAAATTTCTTCCAATTTTTTCTTCTTCATCTTCTATTTTCTGCTTCTTCTAGTTGTCTATTCCTTCTAGTTTATTATTTCCTTACAATTTAATTTCCAAATTACTATAAATCGTTAACATTATACAACAACCATACGATATATTTAGCCAGGTCACAATAAAATTGTCACTTTCAATTTTGCACGTCCATTCAGGTATAACTAGAGCATAAAAATAGTTAATTCTATACTAATTGATTGTTTGAATTAACTCAAGTCATTTCAGAATTGAACTTGGACTAGATGTAGGATCTGGAATTTTATGGACCAAGCATGATATTAATTAAAAAAAATGAACCAATAGGTATAATAAATTTTTATGTGTGTCTAAACATAAATCTGATTTATTTGAAAAATATATCGAAGAATTTCTAAAGAACCAGTTCCATAAGAAGTTGAAGAAATCTTCCTAGTCGTGAAGAAAACACACTTCGAGGTCTTTCGTTCCGAAGAACTCGCGGAGAAATTTGTCCTTAGCCATTATCGGTGTGGTTTGATCCAAAACGAGCCCGGACGCAGTCTATAATGGTAACGAGGCAACGTAGAGCGCTACAAGAATCGAAATTCGCTTATTTAAGGTCGTACATCAGTGCATTTTTGCCATGACGCAACGGCAACGACGCGACGGACGGTTCTTACATTTTTACGTCTTCTGTGCCGTGATTTTCTAATTGTATAACCGCTGCCGAAGAATTACGTACATCGCGTGTCCGTCCCGGGTCCTGTTTTTGTTCCGCCCCGAAGAAAGCCGCCGCCGCTGCCCAGCAGCGGTGCGAAGATTTATATCGGTACCGATAAATTTTAATTAGGAACTGTTATTGCCAGACTCGCGTAAAAGGAGGCACCGCTTTTTCTTTGGATGATATTAAAACGAACGATCCGGCAAATTGTTGGTAACCGAAATTCCTTTTAAATTCTTATTCCAAGAAATCGTAAGTATTTGGTTCTTTACCCCCTTTATAGATTTCCAAGAAATAATAAGACATGCATTTTGTTAAATGATAATAAGAGGAACAAAGAATTTAAACTGTAAGTTGTAAAATCGTGATGACGGTATCATTTTCACTCTAGGAAATTTAAACAACCACGGCTGGTGATGTACTGAAATAAATCTTCTTGGAAATTAACCACGAAGCATGTCTGTCAGCGTAATAAATCAACTCACTTCAAAAACGATATCGGCAAGTAGTAAAACGAACAACTATCAACACATCGGATATATGTAGACAAAAAGAAATGCATACAATACGATGGAATTGTATTAGATGGAATGAGGACTTTACCTCCCGCATGGTGAGTGCGTGCCGATGGAGACTTCATGCCGCCTTAAGCCACAATTCACCAACAGACCAAAACTTATTACCATAAGCTTAACACTTAATAACTAATGACTTCTTTCTATATATATACAAATGGAAACAATATCCACAAACGTCCGTATGCAACAGAAATTTCGGCCGCAGCCGCGTCTTTTGTCCCCCACAAGTTTTTATGACCGTATTAAGAAATTAGCGTAAAATTTGAAATCTGACTCTTCGACCGTCGACGTTCGACCCGACCACCACTTTTCACTCGAGCTATTAATGTAGATTGGTTTTCCTAGAATTATACCTCACAGCAAGTTACGTATTATTTCATTGTTAAATGTTCAATACTTAATAGAGCTATATTAGAGAGATATTTTGTGTTTTAGTTATACACTGTGTTAATTAATTATCATACCCGACATCATCATTACAAATATGCAACCAATATCACAGTATCGGTATTGCAATACGCGATTTGCGATATTGGTTGCATACTTGCAATTATGACAAGGCGAAAACTTTCTTGCGTATGACATTATTACTCAAAGTATATGCAACTAAAAGTACATCTTTTGACTTCAATGTCAAAAATGTTTTCAAATTTGTTTAGTAAGTGTAATAATATTAACAGGTCTATTATTTATTCCATTATTCCAATTCCGAAGATGTT